CCCTAGCCCAGTTATTTGAAGGAGGGGTCATAAGTATTTTACAAACATCTCTTGTTTTATATAATATTCATTGTCCTATTTTTTTTTCATTTTATTCACAGATTCCTGTCTTATTTAAATAAAAAAAAATGATTCAGAAGTGAAGTTGCACATCACAGCATGGTTTATGCCTTAAAGATCATGCACATGAGGGTGCGGCCTACATGAAGTAATATGGTCACAGTCCTGATATTTGGTTTGTGAACAGATGAAGGACCTTTTGACATTTCTGGAGTCAACACCTTTCTAGTTCCTCCATAATTGCAGCTGGAGAAGAGATAAACGATCTTTGCTTCGAGGTATGGAAATAATTCATGTTGTACTAGTATATTATTGAGACAAACGTTACAAATTTTAAAAAGCTCTATATTTTTATGGTATAAACCCATTAAAAAGGGTGAGAGGGTTCAGACTTCTTGCGAATATGGACAGGGTAAAGTGATTGTCATGGTTCTGGTGTATAAGAGTGGCACTCTATTGAAAATTTAGTATAAAAAGTATAAATTATGTTTTGACCAATATACTTCGAGACCTTAGGATGTATCTCAGCTGACAAGGATGATGATCCCAAACTTTGCAGTGTCCAATGTATAAAATTGCATCAAAATCAATTTGTAAATAAATACCTGAAAAATTCAGAAACTAGGTAATGATATGCTTTCTTAGACTCCAAGGTACACCAACTTACAAGACCTTGACCCAGCACTCGAGGTCGCTGAGCAGTGAGGGATCTTTTACTGCAGAGTCTGGGATGCCAATGCCTGCTCTGACACAGGGCTTGGGGTTTTAAGGTATCATTCAAAGAACCTGCAACTTTCAATTCACAGTGCCTAGTGCTTAGCAAAGGAACACTTGCTATCTATTTTTATCAATTTTGATCAGTTGCTTCTGCAGAGTCTGGGATGCCAATGCCTGCTCTGACACAGGACTTGGGGTTTTAAGGTATCATTCAAAGAACCTGCAACTTTCAATTCACAGTGCCTAGTGCTTAGCAAAGGAACACTTGCTATCTATTTTTATCAACTTCGATCAGTTGCTTCCAGGGATTAAACCCAGGACCTTCTGATCAGGGAGCAATCCCTTTATCAACTGAGTTACTGTAATGGTACAACTTACAAGGCTGATAGGTTGTAAACTTCAACATGTGAAATGATGAGCTGAATGCTATAGAACAAGGTTATTCATAAAATTCACAAAATTGTTCATGGTGACCAAACTTTTAGTTGACACACTTCAAGGCCCAAAGACGCATCAACTGACAAGTTTTGAAGATCATGGCATCATAATGTCCAAGATATGCATTAAAATTAATCTAAAGGTTAAAACCTGCAAAATTTAAACAAGAGGCCCATGGGCCACATCGCTCACCTGAATTGCTTTAACCATGCTGTTCTTTACCAGATTTCCCCCTTGTAATACCTATTGTGACCCCACCCTGCCCCACGGGTCAATGACCATCAAATTTGGACAATTTATAAAATTTACTCTTCTCCATGATGCTTTCACATAAGTTTCAGCTTTTCCGGCCCAGTAGTTCCTGAGAAGCAGATTTTTAAAGTTTTTTCCGTATACATTTCCATGTAAAACTTGGATTCCAAATTATGGCCCTGCCCTATGGCTGGGGGTAATGAATTGAAGAATTTAGATTCTACACTCCCCAAGGATGCTTTCACATAAGTTTTAGTCTTTCTGGCCCAGAGCTTTATGAGAAGAAGGTTTTTTAAGTTTTTTCCAATATATTTCTATGTGAAATTTTGATTCCTTATTGTAGCCCCACCCAACACCCGGGGGTCATGATTTGAACAATTTAGAATCTACACTACCCCAGGATACTCCTGGACATAAGCAGTCAAACTGTTGGCATGAATGTAATGACCATTGAGTCCTCCACCAAAATTGTGAAATTCATGGTCCCAGGGTCGGGGTTTTAGTGCTAGGACGGGGCTCTATTGATTACAAGTGAAAATGCATTAATTCTTTGAAAATCTTCTTCTCTGCACCTGGGTATTAAATAAACTAACTAAGTATATGGTTCTGATGAAGAAGAATGCCTATTCCAAAATTGTGAATTTTATGGCCTAAGGGTTAGCGGTAAATTCTGATGTTAGGGCAGGGCTCTATTGATTATACGGAGAAAATTTATTAATTCTTTGAAAATCTTCTTCTCTGCTCCTGAGTATTATACAAACTAAGTAATATATAGTTCTAATGAGGAAGAATGCCTCTTCTAAAATTGTGAATTTTATGGCCCCAGGGTCAGGGGTTCTGGTGCTAGGGTGGGGTTCTATTGATTATATAATGAAAATACATTAAATCTTTGAAAATTTTCTTCTCGGCTCCTGGGTATTTAGCAGATGAACTACCGGTACCTATATAGCTATGATGAGCAAGGGCCAATTCTTCCTGAATTGTGAATTTCGAGGCCCCTGGGTCAGGGGTACCATAGAGGGGGGGGGGCTCTATTTATATACTGAAAATGAATTAATTGTTTGACATCTGCTCCTTGGTATTAATCAAACATTTTTGATAAGGAAGGGTGCCTTTTCCAAAATTGTGAATGTGTGGACCATGGGTAAGGTGTTTGTGGCAGTGGCACTATACTGATTATTGCTGAATTTTACCGATTAGTTGAAATGCATTTTTTTGTTCCCCTACTCTGTCTATGGGTATTAACTAACCAAACTAAACATGCTAAATGTATGGTTATGATTAGCAATGGTGCCTCTTTCAAAATTGTGAATGCCATGATGTCTAATTTAAAACATGAACCAAATTCAATCGTTGGAAAGTTGTTGCGTTATGCTCAGGTGACCTATAAGGCCCATGGGCCTCTTGTTTTTTTTTTCTTCCAAACAGATGACTATTTTTGTGTTTATAAATAATCATTACAATATATTTTATAATATTTCGTCAGATTTAAGACTAACACACTACTAGGAAGGGGGAGGGTGTCCCTCTCTTTGCACCACTCAATGAGTTTGTATACATTATTAATCAGATGATTTTATAGAACCAAACACATCCCAGAAGGTATGTTCAAAGCATATTTTGTTGAGATACATATAGTTTATTCTATGCATTCTCATTAAACAAAGTGAAGTTAAGAAAAAAGGCTTCCGTGCCTTTGGCCCAACAATCACACAGAAACAGAACATGTGAAAAATCTAGTCATCATGCATGTAGCAATGTTTTTGAAAGGGACACACAGAAAAATAATTGGCACTTTTATCTGAAAACCCTGGGGAAGGGTGTGGTATGGTCATTACTTTTTCACAAGACAATTCAATCCATAGTGATGGGTTTTGAATTACAGTAAAACATGTTCGAGAAAAAGCGGGAAGGGGGAGTCCCCTCCGATACTATGTGCCCAGTCTTTACGCTTCTTTATAAAACTAAAAAAAAAAACTTTCGGGTTCTATTCCCTCTGCACCTTTCGGTGCGCCGATTTGGGAATCCATACCCCCCTCTACCAGAATGTACAGAGTTATTAAATGTATATACTGAAGCACATGGAGACTTTGATTTTTTGACCCCCCCCCCCCCCACACACACACACACACACTAACAATTAAACCACAACCACCAACACAAGATATGGTTGTTTTTTTGGCTTGTCGAAGAATTTTTGGTCTGGAATATTTTGATTGGGGTGCACCTCGCATCCTTTGGGAATAATTCCCGAGATCTGGGCCTGCCCTCCATATACATGTATGCAAAGAGCATGAAGAGCGAAGCTTTGTGTGTTTAGATCCCCGTTCTTTTCTGTATTAAACTTAAATCTTATTTGTAAACAGCTTAAGAGTCTGTTTGAAGGCAAAATATGCATGCATATTACAAAACTCAGTTGGTTAAGGATCTCTTTAGCTTTGAGCGAAATGACATTCCACCCTTATAGCACCCTCTTTTGTCTTAATATGCAACCTTGCATAATTTACAAATCACGAAAGTACATTTCATAAGTTGACAAATCGCAAATCTACAAATTACACATGATCATTGACATAACTTGAATTTACATTTTTACATTCTCAAGTTATGTTGGATAATTCACAATTAACAAATTATGAAAATTAAGTTTTACAATTTACAAATTCAGGTTTACATGTGTACATTTTAAGAATTACAGAGTTGGAATTTTAAACCCGTTGGCTTTCCATTCAGTTCAAGGATAATTGCGCACTTCAGCAAAAAAGTTTGTGATCTTTTGCAGATAAATGATTATACTTTTAGCAGCAACAAAACATAAACCAAAGCACTCTCTTTCAAAAGATCTACAGCTTTGTAAAGTGATGTTCTTTTTTTTATAAAAATTTCGAAATATTCATCACAATTTTGCTTTTGTATAAGGCAAAATAAGTTTATTCTGTGAAACAAAATGGTTACTTAATACCCATATGCAGCGTAAGGGAACCAAAAAAAATATTTTTCAACTATATCAGTCATAATCAGCAATAATCATAGCTGCAGATCTGTAGCTCGCTGATCTGAAAAAAATGGGATGGATGACAAGAGAGGTATAGTGTCATCCACTGAAAAAAAGTGTATATTTATTGCACACATACAGCCCTACATTATTGTTTATTTATTTCTTCTGCCATACACTAGTACTTTGTCCATCCTTTTGTCTGTCTGTCTGTCTCTGTGAATATCATAATGTGTGTCAATTTCCCTCTTTCTCTCTCTCTCTTTCTCTCTCTCTCTCTCAAAAGATAACATATTAATGGGTAAATCATATTTTTTTTAATTTTTAAAACACAGCAAAATATGAATATATTTAACATTCAAAATATATTTCAATGCTATTTCATGAAATCCTTAAAATCAATAAATATACAAAGATTTGATCTTTTCCGGTAATAATTAAAAAATATACAGCTTTGTTATTTTGATAAAATATGCTCCACGGAGCAAACACCTTTTGCGAATGTTTAATTTACATAGATTTTTTAATGAAATTAAAAAATCAACAGTTGTAGCGCAAAAAGAATAATGAAATTTTACCTTTGACTTTCTAACATTCAAAATATATTTCAAAGTCATCCTTAAAATCTATGTATCTGGATATCTTTAAAACTGAGATGTTTGCAATGTTCAATCATGTCATTGTCAAAATATTTTGTTCCACAGACCAAAATAAAAGTTCCTGAGTTAATGTCAGAGGGTGACACATTTTTGGTGAGAAAAGCCAAATCCATTCTACCCTCACAGACTTTGTCTCCATACCTGTAGGACCTCCCATTTCCTGTTTCCTAAAAATAATAAAAACAGCTTGGAACACTACGCAGCATATTATTTATCAAAGATCTGGGTGATAAAGAGTGTGTCTTTGTAAACAGAATGCAAATGGTAATTTTGATATGCTGCAAGAGTGAATGAAATGTAGAGACAGACAAATGCAATATTAAGTTTTCTGATCAAGTACATGTAATATAAAAACATGCATGTCACTAGAAACTTGCTTTTGTAAGGCAAGGGTAGGAAGTTTTTCTTGTTCATAATTACATAATCATGTGTATTGTGTTAGGTTACTAGAATTTTCTGAGAAGCACTGACTTTTACAGTTGATGGTTTACTTTGACATTTAAACCTAGCTGTGTTATATAAGGAGGTACAGAATTGATATAATCAAGGAGAAAATTTAAATGTTGGTTAGAGTCATGATATTAGGGGGTAGTAGGGACACTAATATTATATAGCAACACAAAAGATGATTGGAGGTAGAATAACATGACCTCAATTATCTTACTCAAGAGATAGCATCTCCCTTTTATTCTCATTTTCTAAAGGAATCGAATAAAATTCCACAAAAAAAACTTGACAGAATTTGATCAATGTGGGAAGGGACGGGTTGATGGTAAAATCTTGCCATTTTTTCCCTTGACAATTTGAAATGACCCATTAGTATCAATTTATGAGGCTAAAATATATTAACAATATAAAGGAGCTTCTGCAGAATTTCCTGGTGTAAAGTAAACCATCAATTGTAAAAGTCATCACTTCTTGCAAAACTCCATTATCCTGCTATCCTATTACACTAAAAAATGTTAAAGCAGAAAAATTTGTATACTGGTATTTTATTTATCCTTCAAGTATCAAAAAAATAGAAATTAGTAACTAAAATTTAATTTCAGTGAATATTTTTTTTGTGAGGAAATTCAATAAAATGTATAATGTTACAACAGATGAACCCTCTCTAAAATCTGGTTAAATGCCTTTCAAAATAGGTCTTATGACAATGTACATGTAACAAGATCTGAGTTCATGCTTCAATAAATAATTCAAGATTTTTTTTTTTTTTACATTTTAAAACTACTGGTGCAAGAATTTTAACAGAGTGTGTTATCATGGAAATATGTTTCACATTCATTGAAACAATCTCCAAGAGTTTGTTTGCATTTGTATGCACTGATCTGCAAGCATTTTTGTTGCCAGTTTGATCAAAGCAGGATCAAAAGTTAATAATCATATGAAGAAATCTGACAATCTAACTTTTTTCTCATTTTTCTCTTCAAACAAAATACAGGGTAAAAATAACAAAATGCTTGACAATGTGGTTAAAGAATTGGATTATATTATAAACAACAGTTCAACCTACCTGACTTAATATGTAGGTGACTGAAAAATTCCAGAATGATGACCATTCATTTAGTTCAGACTTCATAAGAATTTCCTCATATGATTTACAAGCATAATAGAGCTGAATCAGTGTATCATCTTCTTCATTTCCCAGAATGCATTGGATAACTTGACTCATGGGAGCAATGCCTGTTCCAGCAGCTAAAAGAAGCAACTTCCTGTACTGCAAAATGAGATCAAAATGAAAAGTGTTTGAGAAACATGTAATGCACCATCTCTCCCATGTGGTAAAATTTAAATACGGAACAGCTTTAAATTAAGAATGAATGTAATAATTGTAAAAGCACTTGCTCATCCTTTAGTCAGATGCAGATTTTTAAGTTTAATCTCTACAAGACCTTGATATCATTTAGGGTAATATAATCAAGAGATGCTTGATCTTTGAGCTTGTAACTTTGAAATCAATAGGGAACATTTACTATTAAGATTGAGCCAGTGTGCTTAGTTTGATGTGTTTACATGTATTATATGTGTTTTTTCTTTCTCTCCCATATCATTTTCTGATTATGTATATCATATACTTGTACCTCTGACCTGAAGTTATATGCTGTAAATATTTTTCATTGTCCTCAAGTACCATGTATTTTATGGTTTTGGGTGAATAAATGAACTTGAACTTGATGTCTTTCAAGCAAAGGGTTTGTTTGATGGTTGTGAAGCAAAGAATTCTCAAGATATTGAGTGGTCAATATGTTCCTGTGCTCATTTTGACATTTAACCCCTGACCTTGCGAACCTCATAAGTAATAGGGGTCAGCTAGTCTTGAAATATATCCAGAGTGCTAAGTTTGTTTTTTGTCAAGCAAAGGATTATCAAGATATTGAATGATCCATATACTGTAGAAGTACTTTTTTCCGCGTTTATTAATTTACGCTATGTACGCGGTCAAAAATTTTCTGCGGAAATTTGTCCAAGCGTACTTAATACAAATGTAAGGCATATAGTGACAGTCTGGAAAATCCGCGTAATTTTCTACCTGTGGATTAAACAGAAATTGAGATTCCGCAGAATTATGACCCCGTGGAAAAAAGTACGTTTACAGTATTCTATTTCCAATTTGATCTTCACTCTTTGAACCATGCCAACTCAAAATAGGTGCACACTGCACATACTATGGCAAAAACTTTTATAGGTATATGTCATCTCTTAGTCAGCAAACACTCAAAATTCCAAAATTGTTTGACTATCTTGGGAATCATTACCTTGTTAGGAGAATACTGCAGATTTCCAAATGGCCCTCTAACCTCAATACCCGTACCGACACTCCATTGTCTGACACACTGACTCATTTTTCCATGGTCATAAATCTGATTTAGAATAACAATACTTCTATAATCAAAGGTTAGAAATAATTATCCATGTACTTACTGAAAGCATCTGATAAACACGGTTATTTTGTGTCTCTCATTTTCAATCAACTTTCAAAAAATAATTGAATTTCAACAATGTTTCTTTAATGTTTCATGCATTGATTTAGAAATGAGCTTTGGCTAATATGGGCCCATTTCAACTTTTTTTATGTCTAGCATCCATATATTTATTATATAAAATGTTACCTTGATGAGGAGATCAAAATGTCCCAAGCAACAGACATCAGTTATAGGGGTATACTGTCGACTAACTGCTGAACCATTGTTTGTATCCCTAGAATAGAAACATCAGGAATCAGATAAATACTGGTAATATCAAGAATTGTTTTTAATACCAGGTAATGACAAATTAACGGGGTAATAATTGATACAGAACAAATTATATTTTTGTTTCCTTAATGAATCAACTTGTATATAACAGATATACATGTATTACCAACAGATTTTTTTTCAGAGATGAAAGAGAAAATGTTTACCTAACAATGATATGCTGTCCTACTTTGAGTCCCAAGGATGAAAATTCTGACAACTTCAGTCGATAGCGAAAACAATTGTTTGTTTCTTGTCTGATTTCTGTGATACAGAACTTCCTATACTCAGAATCAGACAGCAAATGATCATCAGACTGAAATGTATAAAAACCACATTAACTTTACACTGATTGTTTCCAATACTAAACAAAGTTCTCTTTATATAAGTGCTTAAAAAAATTTTTGTTTGCGAATTGCCACACAAACTTATTGTCTTCTTCATGAATTAAAATTGTAGAATTTACATGCATTACCAGATTTTCTTCATTTCTCTGTTTTTCTTTTATTTTTCTGCATTCTTTTCTCCATATTTTTAAATCCTGTTCGTAGATATCAAACACACATGGCACACATCCTGACCCACAACAGTCTGTGTCCTCAGGCTTTAGAGGGGGACAAGGCAATGGGACGATGGATTCTTCACTTGGACTGTTATCAGAATTTGTTGAATCACATTTATGTTCATCAGCTGGCTCAATATTTTTATCACTTTTATTAATATATACTGCATTCATAATAGTGACACTGTTTTTTTCAAGTCTTGAGTTTTCCATGCAGCAATGCTAACTGTATTAACATAATTAAAAAAGGTATATTTGGGAGGGGAGGGGTCACAACAAGTTTATGTACCTGTGTATCTATCTTCAGATAATGGAAAAATAATGCATGAAAAAAGAATCAATTATATACAGTCTAGACGAACTCCAAAAACGGCGTGAACTCCAAAAAAGAAGTCTTTGGCTCCGTCATGCATTGCGGCAAAATGCTTCCGATGTAAACAAACGATGGATTGTCGTTCGTTTCTCCACAAATACGACTGAATAATGGCTGTATTTAGTAAACTGTGACTGGATTTCAATTTTTGTTGAATAAATAATTTTACCCATTAAATTATTAAGTGGTTATTGACTTATTTATCGCTCTGTATTCTTGCATAATAGTGATTTGGGATAAACGTACGACACCGGGATTCAATAAAGTCGGTAAGAATTAATTTTCTAACTTAATTTATTGTCCCCTTGATTTAAATTTTATGCCATTCCTACTATAAAGATGCTTAAATTTTACTTCTAAGACACTTATATATCGTATTTTTTTAAATGAAAAACCGCACAATTTTGGCGGCGGAGCAGAGATATTAACAGGTTCGATTTGAGAAGACTTTTTAACCGTAATTTTAAAAGAATGATTTTTTTTAAGTTCTTAAACTCATAGATTATAATTCTAAAAATGTTTTCATGATTATATCTATTCATATGTGAAAACATTAGGTACATAGCAATGGTGATAACTAACGCTCTCAATATTCAGATGTCATACAGGATTATATGACGAAATAATATTACAAATAGGTAAAAAATTCAGTCAATTTTTAACAGTTACAACATATATATTACATTGTTTAATTTTACATATTTTTCCCTTTTATTATATATTTAATTCCCAAACGTTTATTTTTCTATGTATTTGATCTAACTTGAAACGTGAACTTTCTTCAAAAAAGCCTCGGAGGAAATGTGGAAACTGAATGGATTCTCATGTAACTGTCACCTGATCGACTCTTATTTATGATTAAAATCATCAATTAATTACTTTTTTAATTATTGGTAAGATGTATTTACAATGCAGTTGCTCATTGGTGATCTAAACAGGCTGAAATTCATTCGTACACGATAGACATGAAAAACAGAGGAAATTCGAACTGAAAATTCGCCAGCGTTCCTTACTTACAAAATAAACTTCTAAAATCAGTAAAAGTAGTTCTAAAATGACTGACTTAGTCACTACAAACAAATTATCAGCCACAGAGATGTTTTCATAAGATTACGACTGTTTAATTTGTATTTTGTATCCTACTTGTACGATGTCTGGCTGAACCTCGAAGTTGGTCAACTTTGACTTGAAATTAAAAACTAATTTGCACATGAAATCAAAATTCTAACAAATACGTTCTCTAAAACCATTTATTATTAATCATTTCTGAGAACTTACATTATTGTAAGGTAATCCAATTTTTTGCAAAAACACTTTTTATAAGAGCCCACTTTTCACGATTTTTCACCGTTTTTTATATAACTGCGCATGCGTTGGACTCGTTTTTTGGAGTCTTTTCTGGACTGAAATTCTCACTTCCGTTAACGCCGTTTTTGGAGTTCGTCTAGACTGATATAAGTAACAACAACTGTCCCTGTCTCCCTGACTTTCAGCTATTTCTGTGATGAGTTCTGATCAACTTTCTGGGGCTTTGTCATGCTCATTGGCATGTCCATCATTAAGCATGTCCACCAAGAATGCCCCTCCCTCACAGTACATTTGTTTGACTGGGTCGGTTTGGGTTTTCCTTGCTCTTCACTTTCAGTTTTGTTGATATTGTTTGGCTCATCTTCTTCATCACGTTTCCTTTTACAAGATGAATTCACAGAACTATTCATTGTCACATAACTCTAAATGAAATAAAGTCTTATTTGGAATATATATTTTAAAAAAGTTAAGTTAGGGAATCAAATCAATATGGTCCGCCCGATGAGTAGTCAACAGTTCAACAAAATGCAGCAAGACAGGTCAGCAGGTGCAGTCAGACTACTTCCAAACGGAGCAACATATCAATTGGAATCTTTCACAGTAACACTTGAACTTTCTACTTTTCTTCTCAGCACTGTCAGTAAAGGCTTAAATAAATCAGAGGCATAAATATGTCCCTGTAATCCCTGTCAACTCGACAACTGTCAAGGATATTATCCCTACTCAAAACGAGAAATCAAGATGGCACGATAAATGCTAAAACTTCATGATATTCTTTCCGAAATGTCTGCACAGCTTGAGGTTTTTTTTATGGTAATCAAAAATGTCTTTATATTTAATAATTTGCAAACAGATTAACATTTAAATATTTTTGAGTTCATATGTATATTAAAGAGAAAATAATCAACCAAAAAGCATTTTCATCTTTCTTTAATTCCCGGAAATTGTACTAAAAAAATAGTATCTCCCAAATTGTAAACAAGCGTGGAGTGTGGGGTACTCAAATTTACTGCCTTTATTGTTAATTGCCATGGTCTGTCCAGTTTCCCATCCCTTCTAGTCAAGCGAAATACACGTTAAAAGGTATCCAGGCAACATCATTCATCTTTTGTTTTAACAGTGTAAAACGGCACATTAGATTCGCTGCAGTGCAGAGAAAATTCGAATTCACGTTAGGGATAATGATAGGGTTTTATCAGGATTTTAGAATCTAAAATAGGCCTATTTGTGACAGATTCGTTGTTTGTGTAGTCTAAGATCAAACAAGTTGTGTTTGTGAAACTGATAGCAGCTTATGGCAAGGGTTGAGCCTTCTCAAATGATATTTCAAACACAAAGGTCAAGATCAAAAAGTCAAAATTGTTAGTATAAAAAGGAGTGTCTTGTCAAAAGAAATAAACCTATTCCTATGAAATATGGAAGTCCAGGTTCTAACTGATCCAAAGTGATGGACAAAGTAAAAGTTTTTTTAAAAAGTAGGTCAAACTCTAAGGTCAAGGTCAAAAGGTGAAAAATATTTATACCCATTGAATGGTCTTGTCACAGTAAATACACATGTCAAGTATGAAAGCCCTAGCCCAAATTGTTGCCAGGTTATGGTCAATGGTAAAGTTTAGTAAATTTATGTAAAAGTGGGTCAAACTCCAAATTCAAGGTCATGAGGTCAAATTTGGTTGTACCCCAAAAAAGGTCGTGTCACAAGGAATACACGTCTGAAATATGAAAGCCATAGCCCTGCCCACTCAAGAGATATGGACAAGTTTTAAGTTTTTTCAGACAAACAGACAGATGGACAGACAGGACAAAAACTACTCTGTACAGGGAAATTTTCACCCCTTTCCCCCTACCCTCATTAGGGTGAATTTAAAATGGGAAGAATTCATAGTATACAATACAGTTTCATACCATAACTATGACTGGGCGAATTTAAAATAAGGCAAAATTGTTTGCAAGTGTGAAAGGGGGAACATAAGATGGTGCGAAAATAACCCTGTATACAGTATTTATATCCCCAAATCTTCAATTATGAGGGCATTGAAAAAAGGAAACATAGCAATCAGAAGCTGGAAAATCTCTCATCAGAATTAAATTTGGAGAAGTTAATCTTTGTCATATTGATAAATATATTCCAGTGAAGTTTAACTGTGTTGTTTTTTGTGGTATGAAGAATCCAACATATACTGTTCTCAAAGGAAATGTAAAAGTTTGACACGAATCTTAATACTATTAAGATGTCACAAAAAGAAGAAAAAAAATCTCACTGAATTTCTTTCAGATGAAGCTACTAACAACAAATATAGAACAATGGAGGACCCTAAATAAGCTGTTGTCTTCAAGGAGAAGAATGTTGATTAAACATTTTCTACACAACAAACCAAAATATTTGTCAAAGATGTTCCAGAAATTTACTGATCTCCCAAAGCAAGGGGAGATAACTTCAATAAGTCACAGAGTAAGTATTAGTGTGCAATACTTATACATGTATTTGTTCAATATTGAATAATTTCTTACATAGTATTTCTAGCTAAATACCATGGATATGTCATTATGTTTTGAAAGTACCAACAACTTATTCTTTTAGTATATTACCCTTGATATCTAGAATTTTTGGACATCTTGTATTTTTTCTTGATACAGGCAAGTTCAAAATGATGAGGCTTGACTGTATTTTGTTTTTGATATGCATACAGTATTAGAAATTTGTTGTCTGAAATATGAAACCACTACTTTTGCTTTATTTTCAAATTATGCATTGATCATCATAATCATCAGAAAAAAATATAAATTGTTGCAGCATAAATAAAATTTTGGTTTTATATATAGCCACTGATTTGCTACATGATGTGGGGGGGTGTTAAAAAACTTATTTTAATCAGATTCCTCATATTTCAGCTCTTTTTAGCCAATGGTATCTACCATCCTAGCTCACAAGGTGTATTCACCCTCATGCCTCAAGGTCTGAGAGCTCTACAGAAGTTAATCAAGATCATAGACCAAGAAATGGAAGCCATTGGAGCAGAGAAAATTCAGATGCCATCTTTGGTACCAAAACGCCTTTGGAAAACTACTGGTATGTATTTTGATTTTGTTAATTTTACAGTCTAGCTGAAATTCAATGTTCTGAATTAGCTAATCTCAATACAATAGTCAATTGTATCCAATTTTTACATAGAAATATATAGGAAAAATCTTGAAAAATCTTCTTCTCAAGAACCAGTGGGCCAGTGAAGCTGAAAATTATATGGAAGCATCTTGGGGTAGTGAAGAATCTTAATTGTGAAAATCATGACCCCCGATATTGTAGATGCCACAGTAGATATAAGAAAAGGGGAAATCTGGTAAAGAACTGCATCACAAAAGGTACTCAGGTGAGAGATGTGGCCCATGGGCCTCTTGTTGCATTTAATTATGTATTCTTTTTTCTTGATAGGGAGATGGGATGCAATGGGAGCAGAATTATTCAGATTGGAGGATAGACACAGAAAAGGATATTGCCTTGGTCCTGTAAGAGAAAATCTTGAATGATATGTATGAGAGGCTATGTTTACACTGTGCCTCATACATGATTACATGTCAATGCAAAAAACAAAATTTTATGGAGATTTTTTTCCTTTCTTTTGTTAAACGTTTTGAAAAAAAAAACATTTTAATCTTTAAACTT